ATCAGCACACGTCAAAGTCTTCCTTGTTCCTGCGGCTCACGATGTGATAAGTGGTAACCCCTCCAATTCGCAGGTAAGGGAATCGGTCCTGATAACCAGTGGATCTTCTAGATCACCATGAACAACCAACATGCACTTGCACCGTGCTGGAACTATGTGCCCATCAGGCCTTCGGAGGCGTTCTCTCTTATCAACCTCGATCCATTGAGTCGGCACCGTACAATAACCCTCATCCAAGAGGTCTTGCAACTTCTTGGGCTCAATAGGCACTAGTCACTGCAGCATTGTATGTTCGCCATTTTCCCCTTTCGTCTTGTCTCGCAAGTCTCAACCCACTTTTAACTTCTTCTGGCTTGCGCTGATATACAAAGTTCGTGGCCTTCTTGAATTTCGTCTTAGATTGGCTCTTCGTGATTTCTCGATCGCTGAAGAACACAGCCAACGCTTCATTTGACTTGATTGCAACAGATGCATTCATTCTCTGGAGCATGTCTACTCCTGAACCTGTAATTCCCGATCTGGCCCAAGATTCGAGCAGCGGTGACGCCAGCTCGGGCGCCGGTTCGCAAGCGGATGCGTAAGCCTTTCGGTCTACGGCAGATGAAGCGGAATTTGTTTCGTCCAACCGTCTGCGTATGATCTCATTGCGGCAAACGAATATCACGCGCGGCGCATCGTCTAGCAGTGTTCGCTGCAGCGACGATCGAGACGAGGACGAAATCGTTGCGGCTCGCGGTTCCGCCCTGACTACTGGCTTTGGAGCTTCAGCCGGAGGAAACCATCATCCTCATTGTCTTCTTCCTCGCCCACGTGCATGGGCTGAGGATTTATGCCCAGAAGTTCTGTTGAGTCCTCTGGCCCATCTGGCATCGCAGGTACTTGATCCGAATCATCCAGTGGAGCAGTGCTCATCGTTTTTCGTCGACGAAGGATTGCCGTTGGCCATCGGGTTGTGCGTGATCCTCCATACCTCCAGCGTTGTGATTCGAGAGGTACTGGTCGGTCAATGCCTCGGCGGCTGTGCAAGAACGACGTCGGTCAATTGCTGCGCATCTTGGTGCGCCTTCCGTTATCACCCAAGCGTTATTTCCATCGAATCCATCTATGCGCGATCCCGTGCTCCACTTCGTTGTGACTTCTCCGTCGGTAGGGCGCTTCCTGAAAACCAGCGACATCTCCAACCTGGTAGTCGCCCGCTAACGTTGCGGCTTCACGGAGCATAGCTCTAGCAGTTAAGTTGCCCACATCGTGTTTTGCGAATGCCTGGCGGCAGCGCGTTACGACGCTTGTCTAGAGAACTCGTCTAAACCATCTCCCGCTACGTTCGCAAGGACACCGAGATCGAACGACTCTTCGTCATCAAATTGGCTCCCTGGGACTCGCGGCGATCGCCCAAGTACCCCTTGGGATGGAGAGACATGTTTTACCCTGGACATCTTTTTCTTGGTGTTGTCAACTTCCACGGGAGTGGCGGTAACCTCACCGAGTCCTATGATGTTCTTTTCGTGGACAATATTATTGGGGATGTTCTTCCTTAGACCGACCTCCATGGCGTTCTGTGCGTCCAATCTGCTCTGGTGCTTCGACTCCAGCGTCGCGGAGGGCGATCCCTTGCTTTTGAACCCGCATCAGAAATACTCCGCGGTTGTGCGGGCCTCGATCCAGTACGATCCCTCACAGAGTACTTGCCCAGGTGACCCAGTGGTTCCGAAGTACCTCCAGACAGACACTTGAGGATGGCGTACCACCTCCTTGCCTGACAAATATATCGCGCTGGAACGTCGTACCTTGGCAGACAAGCTTGAGACAGGAATGCCCATCGCCATCATTATCCTTGACTTCCAAGCAGTCTATACCAATCTCGTAGTTGAAGCAAAGTTTATTTGGCGTCGCTACCCTGTCAGTCTGAACTAGCGGCTCGTGGTGTTCGCAGTTTTCGCGCCGACAACATTTCACACCATCGATGTATACCGGCGCCATGCGCGACAGACGCATTAGCTGGATGAGGATTCGGTTCGGGCAGTGTCCGAACCGCCGGTGCAATCGGCGAACGGCGGGCCGCGCTCGGAGCGGAATATATACAGCCGCGCCCCCTTGCGCGCCCCTTCCGGCTTTAATTCTCCTGGTAGCGGGAGTTTGTCCATACATTCTAGTTGTTCATGTTTGGCTTGCTCTGGTGGTGCAGTCGCAGCGTCTTCGGGGCCTCCTCTGGTGGTGCAGTCGCAGCGTCTTCAGGGCCATCGGCTGAGTCGAACGGCCCTGGGCTCTGCTCCGCGGCGGCTTCAGCTGGGAAAGCTGCCAGCGCAAGTCTGTCGAGCCTGACTTGCTGGCCTAGGTCTCGTAAGAAGCTCAAACACTTTGGACTGGTAATGTCACCAGTTATTTCCAGATCCCAGTTCAAAGCACTGGCAACGTCAAGGCTGGGGCAAGCGGGTTCACATCCAAGCGCAACAGTAACCGAGCCATAGCTTTGCGATAACTCCTCGAAGCAAGAACGAACATCGCAGTTGTCATCGGCGGTGGCGTTGACGATGATGAGATCAGGATTGCGCTCGACGACGTCTTCTTCCAGCTCGGGCGCCCACGACGGGCGAGCCACGCAGTCAGCACCGAACACTGCGCTCGCGGGCGTGATCCCGATGATGTGCGCTAGGGGCCTGCCCATGTTGAAGGAGTGCGGCGCGTGCTCGAGCTTTTCCTCAAATCCTGCGATGCATCCGCCCTCGGAAAGCGCGGAGGCAGAAAGGCGCGCTGTCAGAACAGCATCGCGACCAGCGACCTCTTTGAGCCCGTTTCCGTATAGCGTCTTCTTCTTGTGATTTCTCATTGCCATCTCATGATCTTCGAGGTCAAGAGCGGCGCGCAGATGCGTTGCGCCATCCGTGCCGATGCGAGGGGGCTGCGCGAAGATTGCGATCTTGGTGAACTTATCTGCGCTCGACACTTCGCCCATGGATACTCAGTCCTCGAGTGTTTCCCAGCGTCCGTCTCTGAGAACAAGTGTGCTATTGCGCCAATTCTGCATCGTGCCCGGGCATTTGATCTTGCTTTCGATCGGGTCAAATTTGCAATTGGCGGCGCGCGCCATAAGCCTCGACTCCATGCACGTGGATTCTGGGATGGCTCCTTGATCCAGGAATGTCGCCAGATGCACGCACGTTATGAAGGTGCTCTTCGTGCTGTCGCAGGGGATGTCCAGGGAAGCCCCCCGTGCGCGCAAGGGCTCGAAGTCCGCGATCGGATATGCGGCAGCTTCGGCGGGCAGGTGCGCCTCGCGTGCCTGGCGGACGGCAGCTGCTACAGCCTGCTGGATTAAAAAGTGCGGACCCGTTTGAAGACTTCGACGCACCCAGACCCTCTTACGCGCAGATCCACTCATCATTCTGTGGCATGGCCAGGCTCACTCATATCCGCGCTTGCTCGCGCGCAGACTGATGGATGCGCGGCCACATGTCCAGATTGGCTCACGCAAAAAGTCTGAGGCCCCCACATCCACTCGCGCTCAGACCCGTTCCTACTCAGTCGCTGACCGTAACCGCGTGTGCTCGCGCCCACGCGCCTTCTTCATGTTCAGACTCCGCTAATGCTTAGACGCACTCATACTGAAGTCCGCTCGCGTTCAGACGCACGCTCAATCATATTCAGTCCCCCAAGCTCACTCACGCCCAAACCCACGCATACCCAGGCTCACTCATATCTAGACTCATTCGCGTTCAGACCCAACCCACGCTCGGCCCGCTCTGGGACCCACTCGCGCTGAGTCGCTCGGACTCCCCCCAGAGTGGGAGCCGCCGAGGGCGCGCACGGACCCCCACAGGGACCTCCAACTATTGGGGACCCCGCCGCCTGTCCTTGCCGCTGAGGCTCCAGCGGGTTGTCAAGGGGGCCACGATGATCTGTAAGTTTGTCGCCTTGGAAGTTTGTCAGTGGGCTGTCAGTCGGGCTATCAAGTGGGATGTTAAGAGGGCTGTGGGTTGTCAGGGACTTGCCGGTGGGAGTGCCAATAGGTTGCCAAGGGGCCGCCCCGCGGGTTGTCAGCAAGCCCCCCAGAGAGATCGTCAGTGGGATTGCTGGGCTTCCTTGGGCGGAGCGTATCACTCGCCTGCCAGTCTGTGGCCTGGAGAGAGGTCTCGTTGTGTCTGCGTTGTTTCTGGACCCGTCTGACCCGCAGAGCTGCGGAGCCACAGCGTGTCTTGGGCATTTGTTGCAGGAGGCGGGCACCAGACTGAGCTGGACAGACACAGTGATGTCACAGGGGGTGGCCGATGGTCCCGCCTCCGTCCTACCCCATCATCCCCGTGCCGTCCAGCGGCGACTCTGCGTCAGTGAGACAGGCACGTTTGACAGGGTCTGGTGATAGCTGTAGTGAGGGCTCCTCCCGTTCTTGCCCCTCCTGCTTCGTTTCCTTCTCGTGCCCGTCCTCCTCAAGGTTGAAATGCTCCCCTCTCCTGCCGCAGGGCCCGCGGCTGAAGCGAGCGATAGAAACGTCAACGGTGCCAATGAAACGCCAGTAGAGGAGGACAACATGCATGAACAGAACATGTCGACGGTCCGCATGGATTCCTTCAATCTGCGCTGGACCCCTCTCCCTGGCGGGCGGAGCGCGCCAGGGGCGGCCCAGAGGCGCCGCCAGGGGGTTTAGCGAAGATCCAAGAAATCCGCGCGGACAGTCGAAAGTTTATGTTTCCGTGCAGATTTTTTTTTCGAGCCAGGCAACGTCGTAGCATACCTCGGTCGCCGTCTGCCTCTACCCCCTCTGCCGATCTCCTCCTCGCTCTGGTGGCGCTTCGGCTCCCCCAGTGCTCGTGCTCCAGGGGCGCAGGAGCCTGCCCGCGCGCCGGTGCTCCCAGAGGGATGCGGCAACGGATGATTCTCTGGACGTGCCGCCGATAGGCAGGCCGCCTGCTTCGGCCCTGAGCACAGTGTCTGCGTCGTGCCGAAGGGCCTCCTTGGACAGGCACACCGTGGGCGTCAAGGCACGTGCTGGGGACCATCGGGCAATGCTCTGGCCACGGCCCGCCCCGCTCGAGGGCGTTAAGTCACGCGCGCGCGCCGTCTTTGAGCTGCGGGATGCCGTGGTCCGCGTCGGCGAGGAGGACTGTTGCTGCGGCCAGGCGGCGGGCGGGTTCGGCTATTCGGGGCGGGCACCGGCCGGCTTAGGCACGACACGCTTGAGCATGATAGAACGAAGGAGTTGACGTACGTCTCTTCCTCAACGGAAGGCGGCGGAAGCTGGTGGAAACAAAACTCTGTTCTCCAAGAGATGACATTTGTGGGGGTTCATGGTTTCGGGAACCCGCCGCTTGTAGGGAGAGCCGTGCATGGGAGAGGCTTGGTAACACCCATTCCCTCCACAAACCTGTCGAGCTTGGGTGTGACTTCGTACTCTGCAAGATGTTTCATCGCGTGTCACATAGCGGGCGGGGGGCAGTCCTGCGCGAGCGGGTCTCGCAGCGGCGCGGCGATAACGCATTTATAGTTGGGTGTGGAGCAGCTGTGGGACCTCGGCTGACCTTCAGTGGTGACTCGAGCGCTGGGAGTCTTCCAGCGTCTCCAGGATCGTGCATCAGCCTGCAGGAAGGACGACTATCTGCCTCCACACTGCTGAGATTTGTTTTTCGCGAGGTGCATTTTTCTGGACTGGACTGGTCGCGCCCGATAGCAGGCTGGCTCGTTTTCGGCAGACGAGTGTTTTTTTGGCGCAGTCAATCGAAGGCCGTTTCATTATCGGGAGTAGAGTGCGCAAAGTTTGGGGACGCCAATCGAAGGGAGTCTCATTTTCAGCAGCCGGGTGCGCAACCAGCAACAAACCGTTTTTTGATTTGCCGCCGAGTGCGCCTTTATCTTGTCCAGCCAGTAGCAGACCGTTTGGACCGCCGAGTGCGCTTGCTAGTGCGCAAAAAGTATTAGTTTTTCCACAAAAATAAAATTAAAACAAAGCGGTGACAGATCAGGTAACCTATGGCACAGACACAATCAGGTCTCGGCCGCTGGGTGCACAACCTATGGCGCAACCAAGGGAAGGTCGTTTTATTGTCGGCCGCCGACCTACTGCGCAACCAGTGGTAAGCCGCTTTATTCTCCGCCGCCGGGCGCGCAACATATGGCGCAACCAATAGCAGACCGCTTCATCATCAGCCGCCGAGCCGGTTTATTTCGGTTGCCGAGTGCGCAGTCTACGGCGCAACCACTAGCTGTCCACGTTATGCTCGTCCCCCGAGCTCGCAACAAATGGCGCAACCAATGCCAGGCCGTTTTTTTTCTGGCCGTCCAGTGCGCAACCTACGATGCAACCAATGCAAGGCCGTTTTTTGTTCTCGGCTGCCGAGTGCGCAACTTACGGTGCACGTAATGGCGCAACCCATGGATCGCGCAAATTGGGATATGAATAGCTGGAGGAACGGGAGGGAGTTGGATCCATCTTCTTGTTCTGGCCGCTCGGCGTCTCTCTCGTATCCATATTATATCCAATTTGCTTACTTGCAGCTCGTAGCAGCACGAGGGCCGCCGTGCGGTCATAATGTGTTACAGGCAACCCAGGGTCCTCAGAATCAGGCGCATGCAGCCTGTTGGGTCTCAATGGCCCGATAGGAAGAAGGAGGGGGAGGAGACGGAGGAGGAGGAGGAGGAGTAGGAGGAGGACTAGTGCAAACCCAAGACTCATCAACGGTGTTGGAATACACCCTGGCTCCAAGCTCCCTCTTCATTGGCCCCTACAAGGGTTGATTCCCATTGATGGAATCGCCCCGTTGGGAGACAACCGTGTGAGAATCCTGAAGCGTGCCAACACACCGATCTCATGGCTTCAACGCCACGAGTTAACCTGACTGTTATGCCTTGGCGATCCTGAATCGTACGGGAACACCTTACCTGGGACTCCAATACCGCAAATCCACATAAATGCTGCGCCCTGACCATCTTGACCGTTTCAAAACACCACTTCTAGTACGTCAACCATGAGAGCCAATGAAATCCTTCTAATGCTTCAAAACGAATGTGCGCGGCGCTAAGGCGAATACCCACATGTTTAAAACCACCCGCCATCAATCTGTGAAACTCTGGCATATGTTTAAACCGAATGTGCGCGGAGCCAATGCGAAAACAACATGATGAAAACCACCATCCCTCAACCCGTGAAATTCTTACAATGTGTTTAAACGAATGCGCGCTGCGCGAATGCGAGAGCCACAGTTCGAAAACGACCTGCCTTCAATCGGTGAAGCTCCTGCAATTTGTTAATGAATGTGCGCAGCGCCAAGGCGAAATATGGTGGGAGCCAAATTATGAAAACCACCCGCCCTCAATCCGCGAAATCCTTTTCACTTTCTTCCAACGAATGTGTGCGGCGATAAGGCGAGAGCCACATTTTGAAACCACCCGCCCTCAATCCGTGAAGCTGTTGCAAATGTTTTAAACGAATACGCGCGGCGCTCAGGCGAGAACCATATTTTGAAAACCACCCGCCCTCCATCTGTGAAGCCCATGCAAATTCTTAGGCTTCAGGATCGTTCATGGTGAGGAAGTGTCAGGCGAAACACCCGGTTCGCCCTTTCGACCCGCCTCGGGGTGCGACAGGGAGGAGTTATTTTCAAGGACAAAGAATGGAGGAGGAGGAGGAGGATGAGGAGACGGAGACAGAGGAGGGAGGAGACCGAGGAGGAGATTCAAGAGGAGAAGGAAAAGGTGGAGGATGTTGCCCCCCCCCCCCCTCAATCAGCCACCTCCGCCCGTCCTCTGCCCGCCCCCTCGCAGCTGGACGTGACCCTGCAGAGCCGGGCGGTGGCCGTCGGCGACGCCGGGCGCGCCCTGACCAGCTTGCTGCTGGGCCACGCGGAACCGAAGAGCGGCCTGGCGCGGCGCCATGAGCAGCTTAAGGAGGGAGGGGGGGTATGACCGTAAGGCGGCAGGAATGCCGCCCTCCTCTGGGCGACGGGGCAGAGGATGGGGAGCCCCCAAGTGGTGTAGTGACCACACCGCGTGGTGAGTCAGTAGGGGTTCGGGGTCACCGCGGGGTTTTCGGACTTGAGCCGCGCTCCGAGGAGGTCTCGAGCGACCGGGGCCTCCGAAAGGTCCCCAAACCATGCGCTGGCGGACCGCGCGGTGAGATCGTTGGGGGTTCTGAGGTTACCACGTGGTCCCTGGGCCCCCGAGGACGGGGAGGGACGCAGACTAGGGAGGGAGGGAGGGAGGAGCGGCGACTAGGGAGGGAGGGAGACTAGGGAGGGACGGGGAGAGAGGACGGGGAGGGAGGACGGGGAGGGAGGGAGACTAGGGAGGGAGGGAGGACGGGGAGGGACGCAGACTAGGGAGGGGCAGACTAGGGAGGGACGCAGACTAGGGAGGGAGGGCGAGAGCTCGAGCCCCGGGGAGCAGGGGAGCGGGCGGGGGGAAAGGGCGAAGGAAAGGGGCGGAGGGGGAAGGGGCAGGGGCGAGGAGGGGGAAGGCTCTTGGGCCCCTCGTCCTCCTGCAACTCCTCCCTCTCCTGCCCCCTCCTGTCTCCTCCTCCTCCTCCTCCTCATCCCTCCTCCTCCTCCTCCTCCTCCTCCTCCTCCTCCTCCTCCTCCTCCTCCTCCTCCTCCTGCTCCTTCTCCTCCTCCTGCTCCTCCTCCTCATCCTCATCCCTCGGTGGCGGGAGAAGGGGGAAGGAGAGGCGGAGGGGCACGGGCGGAGGGGCAGGGGCAGGGGCGAAGGAGGGGGGGGAGGCAGTGGCGGGAGAAGGGGGAAGAAGAGGCAGGGGGTCACGGGCAGGGGGGGGGGAGGAAAAAGGGGCGGCGGGGGGGGGGCGGAGGCGGCGGGGGGGGGAGGGGGCAGAATGGGAGGGTCGGACGGGGCAGGGGCGCAGGAGCACCTGCCAGGGGCAGGAGGCCAGGGGGGTGGGAGCGGAGTCCTCTCTCCTCGATGTCCTCTACAATTCACACATGACGAATCCGATTGTGCTCTCTCCCCTGGCCCTGTCTGGAAGATGATCGGCCCTCGCCGCGTACGTTTTGATATTCCCACAGGTTCTCGGACCTTGGTCTTTCCTATGTGTTCGTGCAGTCCGAATTGCTTCGGTCCTTCAGAACCGTGTTCCCGCTGTAGCCTAGGCCTTATTAGGTGCTGTGCACCTTGCTCCCGTCGTGCAGAGTGGCACTCTTGCCCCAGCGCGGGCCACTTTTCGAAATCCGAGTCTTCCCTCATCGATGTCGCCCCGCCTCCTTTCCCCTCCTCTGAAATTCGCACCGCTTGCTGATACCGTAATTCGTCAGCCATACCCGTCGCCAGGCTCTGTCCATCGAGCATGATTCATTCAAGCGTAGACGCATACCCTGGCAGGAGTTATCGGTTGCAAGACATCGGTTGCAAGACAATGTTCACCAGCGTGGACCCCAACACAGCGTGTTTCTAGCCATCTATGTTGTGCATTGTATGTGGAACAATACCCAGTGGCTTGCGGCCCATCCCGCCAGCGTGCCTGGTCGTTGGCGACATGTTTTGAGAGATTTCCTTTGAGTTTTGGGGGGGCGCCTTGGGGCGCGTCGTGGCGGCCTCGTGGGTGTTCTGGGGGCGTCAGGAAGGCATCTCTGACATCCCCATTGGGCTTTGTGGCGTCCTCCTGTTGTGAGGAGGTTCCGCCAGCGTCCTCTGTATGCCACGAACCTGCGCGCCTGGTCCATGAAGTCCATCGTTGCCGCTTGCTGTTGGGACGTCGCGAATGGGGGATCGTTGGGTGGCGCACGTGTGCCCGAGTTCTCGCGCGAAGTCACGCTCAGGAGACGCAGCCCTTCGCGTAGCTGCTGTGCGCTCGCGCAGCCCATTGGGATCAAGAGGGCTGTTGTGCCGCAGAGCTTTGATTTTCTTGCAGTGGCAGCCGCTTCGATCTTTTCGTACATGTCTTCATCATAGAATATGTTGGGCGCCTCTTGAGGACCTCTGGGGAGCCTCTTGGTGGCCTCTTGGGGGGTCCTGGGAGCCTCTTGGGGTTGCGAAGCGAATCACTCTAGACGAGACGCGAAGCCCCAGCGAGGCGACCTCCGTGCGGAGCGAGGCCCGGAAGCTCCAGCGGGGCGGCCCCGCGCCCTTCTCCCAGAGGCGTGGATGGGGAGGTCTGCCGCCTCGGGCCGGACATGGAGCCTGGCGCCCTGGACGACGCCCTCCGAGGCTCGGCGGGAGCGCGGGGCTGGGCAGGGAGAGGGAACGCCGAGCTCGCGCCCCGTCGACGAGGCGGCGGCTACCCCCAGCGCTGGCCAGGTAAGGTTGAAGCCACCGGTGGCCTGGATGTTGGCCGACGTCGAACGAGCTGCGCCATCGGGAGAGACCCAGGCGGTGTCAGACACCAGCGCTGGCGCCGTCACGGCACTATCGTCTGTCGGTCCGTCTGTCATGTCTGCCCTGTCTGTCATTTGCCAGACCCGTCCCGCCCCCCGCCCCCCCCCTGCGAATTACGGGGCGAAGGAGCGAACGAGGAGGAGGAGGAGGAGGAGGAGGAGGAGGAGGAGGAGGAGGAGGTGGCAGGAGTAGGACGAGGGAGGCGGCATAGGGGGGATGAGAGCGGCAGGAGAAGAAAGAGGAGGAGAGGTAGGAGGAAGGAGGCGGGAGGCCCGAGGGGCAACAGGAGGAGGAAAGAGGAGGCGGAGGAGGAGGAAGAGGAGGAGGCAGGAGGAGGAGGAGGAGGAGGAGGAGGAGGAGGAGGAGGAGGAGGAGGAGGAGGAGGAGTTTCCACCCCCCCCTGGAAGTTCGACAGGCCAGCTGGACGTCATGATGCTCATTCCACCTCATCCCCCCCCGTCTCGCCCACCTCCCTATCCGCCCTCCCTCCTCTATCTCCCGCAAATCTTGACGTTTCGTGTATCCCCACCAATGTCAGCTCCCCCACAGCCTCGCGGCTGCTCTGTGAGTGGGCCGGCCGGCTAGCGGCGCCTTCTGTAGCCAATTAGGCTTGCCCGTTGGCCCGGACACCCTGCCCTGCTCGCCGCCTGCCTCTTCGCGGGCGGCCGCGACCGAAAAAAGTATCCCTACCAATGTGTCTCCCTCATATGAGTCGCAGTGTATCAGTATCGGTTAACCTAACCCCAACCCCATGAAGCCTCCCACCAGCCCACCGCCTCCCGCCGCCCCCGACTTGGGGATATACCCTCCAAAACCCGAGGGAGACGGCCTATATCCCCATCTCGGGGGGTAAATCCCCAAGTGGAGAAAAGGCCACCTAGATGGGGATAGGGTTCGGATAAACGATGCCCAGTGTAGTCCGCTCATGCGCCCTCAGTGGGTAATTTAGGCCAGTGCTAGTTTGCAATTCCCTGACGGCGCCTGGCACCCCTGCGCGCTCGCGAACAAAAAGTACCCCCACCAGCCCATCCAGAAACGATGCCCATGAGAGTTGACATGGGGAGAGAGGAAGAGACACGCACAATCAAACAGCGAGGGAGGCTTGTGAGGCTCCGTGGCCATCCCGAGCCGTCTTGGAGCGGTCTTGGGGCCGCTTGGAGCATCTTGAGGCATCTTGTGCTATCTGAGCCATCTTGGAAGTCATTTTGCACTCTCTGAGGCCCCTCGAGGGCCTCTTGGGTGCATCTCGGGTGCCTCTTGGAGGCCTCTTGGGGCTTCTTGGGGCGCTCTTTGGACCCTCTTGGGAGCCTCCTGGGAGCCCTGAAGCGCCTCTTGGGGCCATCTTGGAGGCGATCGGTCAAAAGAGGGGGGGTACTCGATTTAGGTCTCCCCGTCGGAGGGCACGATTTTCGTGAGGGGTGGCAAAACATGGCCCTCCCAATGTGATGGTCGAAAAAGGTGCCTCCGACACCTCGCGATCCCTCCAACAAAAAACCTCAAGGAGGGGGGGGGGGAGGTTTCCCCTCCCCGAAGAGAAGAGGGGTTGTGGAAGAGAGAAGAGACCCTCCTTAGACCACCTGTCGCCCAACAGGCTGGCGGGATTTCTTTCCACACTTCCGCTTCCCGCCTCCACATCCTCATCCTCCCGCCTTCTCCCAAATTCCCCCTACTCCCGCCTCGGAGCCTCAGGCGCAACAAGCCCCACGATGTTAAGCTCAGCGCCGAAGCGAACCGCCACAAAAAGGAGAAAGCAGCTCAAGAGGCAGGGACGGGCCGCCCTGCCCACAGTTTGGTGGAGGGGTCCTTGCCTGCCTTGAGCAGCTTGAGTGCTCCCTGACTACAGTCAAGACGCTGAACAGAGAAATTACACCAGAGAAACAACCCAACCAGTGGATGGTTTTCGCTGAGGAGATCGACCGAGAACCCAGGAGCCCGGGAACCCAGAACCCACCGAAATCGGCCCGGAACCGATAACCAGGAACCCGGGAACCCGGAACTGGGAACCCGGGAACCCAGCTTGCTACCAACATCGGCGGGGAATGTTCGCCAAATCTTTCGATTTCCGCTAGGACCCCTTCAGTGCAAGCACTGATTGGGGAACAACGCGTTGGGCGCAGGGCCGTTCCTTCGCTCTATGCCGTTGAACCTGTTTGTGGCCTACGCCCGCCGCGGCCAGAGAAGCCCCCTCGTTCCACGTTGTGCGTTCCGTTTGGTAGTGCACTGGCGGCACTTCCCGCGTCCCCGGTGGACAAGGCTCCTCAAAGTTGCATGCTCAGTGCGAGCCGTGCGCCGCTGCATGGCGGGCGGGAGCGCCAGACTACTTGCCCTGAGATCCGCAGGTTGTGGGAGGGGTCAGCCCGCTCTAGGAGGCGGTGCCCCCCAGAGCACGGCGCGCTGTCGACGCCCTGCCGCGTTGCCGCGTGCTGCCCGCACCGTGTGCACCCGAAGCCGTCGCCACGGTTGACAGTGTGGTCAGTCCTCCCGCGGCCCTCGCTTCCATCTCTTCCCGGGCCTGGCTTCCAGGCAAGGGGCGGGGGCAGGGTTCTTTGCAGGGAGCTCCCAGTTCACAGGCCGTGGACTGCGGCAAGAGTGACCCCACACGGCGGGGCCAGAGAGCACAAGATAACCAAGCATGCTTCGCCTCCTCGTTGCCCCCCGCCTCCTCATTGCTCCCCCCATCTTCCCTCTCTTCCTTCTCCTCCTCATCCCCCTCCTCCTCCTCCTCCTCCTCCTCCTCCTCCTCCTCCTCCTCCTCCTCCTCCTCCTCCTCCCAATCCCTCCTCGTTGCTCCCCGCCTCTTCGCTGCTCCCCGCCGCCTCGCTGCCCCCCTCCTCCCTCCTCCCCGCCTTCCCGCTGCTCCCGCTCCCCGCGACCTGGGGGGGTGCGGGTGCAGGCCAGCCGCACGTCGTCGTCCTGGAGGAGGGCCCCAGCGACGACCCATGGCGCGGCACCTTCGCGGCCTTGGTGGCCGGCCAGGCTTCGCCTGCTCGTCCCCGCCCGTCTCGCTTGTCCTCCTCCTCCTCCTCCTCCTCCTCCTCCTCCTCCTCCTCCTCCTCCTCCTCCTCCTCCTCCTCTACTGCTGGGCCGAGAAAGGCTGGGCGTGACAGAGGTGCACCCAACGCAAAGGCTGTACCCATCGACGCCCCCATGTGCAGAGCACCGGTGGCCCACCAATAGTCCTCCGCCTCCTCCCACGATGTCGTCCTGGAGGAGCGCCCCGGCGGCGACCCGTGGCGCGGCCTGCTCGCGGCCCTGGTGGCCAGCCAGGCCTCGCCTGCTCGTCCTACTCCTCCTCCTCCTCCGCCCTCCTCCTCCTCCTCCTCCTCCTCCTCCTCCTCCTCCTCCTCCTCCTCCTCCTCCTCCCCCCCATTCTCGCTCCTCGCCGTCGTCCTCCTGGTTCCCGTGCTTTAGTATCGGGCCCATGGAAGGGGTCGCGTGCCTCAGGGGGGTTCCCGATCGGCCAGGGGCGCCTGTGCGGTGGGCGACTTGCTGCTGCACACTTGACCTGGGTAGACACGAATCGCTTTGAAGAATGACCATCGCCCCCCCCCCCCCCTCTATTTAGCACCACCATCCCTCTCAGAGTACAGTTATCTCAGCGTGGCATCCAGCCAGCCACAGGGCCAGCACTGTTGCGCAGCGCATCAGAGGCCGCAGGGAGTCCATGAGCTGGTGCTGGTCTTGCTTGATCCCCGCCCCCTGTCCGAGCAGATGTGTTCGTCCTCGTCGTGGTCCGCCCTACGCGCTGGTGACCTCCTCCTCCTCCTCCTCCTCCTCCTCCTCCTCCTCCTCCTCCTCCTCCTCCTCCTCCTCCCTCAGGTGGCTTCGCAGCGCGCGGCGGCCCGCAGCCGTCTTGCCCTGCGGCGGGCGCGCCCGCCGTGCGATAGCCCCCAGCCCCACGGTGGGGCGACCTCGCGAGCGCGAGCGCTCGCCTGCGTGGCACCGCAGGGAGCGGCGCCAGCGGTCCGACGCTCGTGCTCGGCTTCGGCGGCACCGCGACCGCCTGCTGCTGCTGGCGCACCACGGCAGCCAGCCGCCCATGCATGGCTTGCGTGGTGCCGCCCCAGCGGGAGCCGCACGGGGACCGCGGCAGGGGCGCAGCGGTGATGGCCTGGCCGCTCTCGCTGGTGGGACCCCTTGCCCGACATGCGGATGCCGCAAGAACGAGGCGTGGTGGCGGTTCTGCAAGCATTGCAAGAGCGAGATCGTGCCGTCCCAGGCTCATCCTCGCCGCCCTCGCTCTGCTGAGCGGCGTGCTGGCCTACAGCGTGCGCCCTGGCAAGACGACGGAGCCGCGGCTCGGCGCGACAGCCTGCAGCGCGGCCCAGGCGGCAGAGCCGACACGGCACGCGATGGTTCCAGGGTGCGCTTTGCCCTGGCCAGCGTGGAGGAGCTGCCCAGCGGGAGCGACGCCGACCCCGAGGAGGCCAAGCTGGTGCAGCTCATCAGCCTGCTGCAGCTCAGCCAGGACGAGTGTGGTATGCGGAAGTACCAGCAGCAGCTCGACGACCTCCGCAGCGCTCGTCGGGCGCGGCCCTTGTCGATCGACGAGGCGATGGCAGCCAGGGACGCGGCAGCCGAAGCCTTGGACAAGGCCGTCGAGCAGGCCGAATCGCTCCAGACCCAGCTGGACAGTGCCCAAGGCGGCGGTGGCCTCCCGCTCCGCCCAGTATGACGCGGCTCTGGCGGCTTACACTACAGCTGTGCAGGCCCTGGCGCAGCAGGTGGCTGGCGCAGCACCGCCGACGGCTGGCGAGGCACAGTCGGGGCGGCTGTCCATCGCCAAGCTGCTCCAGGGCGACAACGTGGAGCTCGACGACGAGGGACTCTTCGGCCTGGAGGCCCTCGAGGACTACATGATCCAGGAGTCCGACCGCGAGGAGGCCGCCAGGAGGAAGGCCGACCTTCAGGCCAGGTTCAAGGCCATGGCGCAGGAGGCCTTCGGCAAGTTCGCCACCGAGGCCGGCGAGCTCGAGCGGCAGCATACGGAGCTCAAGAACCGCCTCCAGAAGAAGCGCAAGACTGCAGATGCAGCGGAGGAGGGGGCGACTGTTCAAGCGGCGACCGCGGGCGCCACGGCAGCCCCCGAGGCTGGCGCGCCTGCAGTCCTTGCTGGCGGCGGCGCCGCCGCCCCAGGTGGTCCCTCGGCCGAGGCCAGCAACGACGTGGTGGAGGCGGCGCGCGCGAGGCTCGCAGCCGCTGCCAAAGGCGCTGGCCGCGGCGCTGGCAGCAGCGGCGGGACCGCTGCCCCTCCACGGACGTCTGTTTGACGGCCCCGCTGCTGGGCACCTACACCATCGACCACTACAAGTTCATGAAGATGACGCCTCTCCAGCTCCTGTGGGCGATCCACCTCCGAGGAGGTGCCGCGACTGGTTTGGCAACTACTACGCGGGGCACTGCGCTGATCTGCAGTGGACTTTCTCCTTTCCTGCCTACACTCCTGCATGGGGGCCTGGTCCAGTCTCGGGACGCTACTTCTACCAGGACAGCGAGAGTGACGGCAACATTTTTCACTTCTACAGGTCCTTTGACCAGGGTGGCCTGACGTACGGTGACTGGCAGGGCGAGGCTGGCCCCGACATCTGCGTTTGGAAGGACATGGACCCAGAGAGGCAGCGAGCACTTGATCTCCAGCGAGACATCGAACGTGCTGACCTCGAGTGCAGCGACCCTGATGATTCGGGTGGCTCCACGACGGCGAGTTCCGACGGTGCGGTGAAGGTCGCTACGCGTCGATGCAGCACTACTGCGACGCGGTGGGCACGCGCTCTCGGTCGTCGGCGTCGGCGGGGACTTCGCGCTGGAGCAGCCCGACCTCAAGCTGGGCACGCTGCGCCACAGAATGGGACTGGAACTAACATCATATGCAGGCCACAAGCCATCGCGTGCTCCGAGTGTCGACCCCTTGGGCTTCTTGGGTCTCGGAATGCTGACCCCACCGTCTCTCAGAGAGCTGTCGCGGTTGGTAAGCCATCTGCGTCGGTCCGGCTGGACCAGGTCGGCCCTAGGTCGGCTAGAGAGAAAGACGGTGGGGGGGCCCTTGAGGGGGCTGCGTCGCCCAGGGTCGCGGCGAGACCGACGTGTCGACATCGGGGCAGAGCCTGCAAGATCATGACCGTCAACGTCACTGGCTGGGGCTCCCTCCTTGCGAAGCTGGAGGAGAAGCGCATCCCCGATGACGCGCAGGCCGTGCTCATTCAGGAGCACCCTGGAGGAGGCCAGGCTCGAGGCGGCGATGAAGGCTGCCAAGGCGCACGGCTGGAAGGCGGACCTGCACCCCGCTCGTCGCACTGGCAACGGCGACGGCACCACGGGGGGCGTCGGGCTCCTGGTCAGGCCCCACGTTGCCTTTCGGCGCCTGCAATTCAACCACGACGGGATCCACGCGCCTGGCGCGGCACGTCAGGGGTTCTGGACCACAGACCTGGGGCCCAAGGAGGGGCTGGTGCTGGCTGGCCTGCACCTGCACACCAGCAAGGACTTAGAGGACGTCAACCTCGACCTCCTGTTTCAGATCGGCAGTGTGCTCCATGCAGCTGATCGGCCATACGTGCTTGGAGGGGATTGGCAGAACTTACCAGAGTCCCTCAACTGCCTGCGGTGGCCCAAGGCGGCGAAGGGAGAGGTAGTCGCGCCCGACCAAGCCACGTGCTACACCGCCAACAGCGCCAGGGTCATTGACTACTTCTTGGTTCGTCAGGATCTGCATGGCTGCAGAGCCCGCACCTTTGATGGACTATCCGCTGCCCCGCACAAGGGCGTCATTTTGGAGCTTGATGTCCAACGCGTCCCGCTCATGGTGCGCAAAGCCCATATGGCGAAGGCTTTTCCTTCGAGACAGCTTGTGGGGCCGCAGCTACCTGGGCCTGGCTGGCAGGCGGTGCAGGACATGGCTGCGGCAGTCGACACGACGAGCGAGCTGGACGCGGCGTTCTGTGGCTGGCTGGGGCGCTATGAGGACGAGCTGCTTCACCACTTCGGCTGCGAGCAGCCTGAGCGCTACCGTGGACGCTCCGACGGCATTCGCCTTGTGTACTCGACCCTGCAGATGCACTGCCGCGGTCAGGCGAAAGGGCGCGGCGCCGCTGACCCGAGCGAAGGACACTGGCAGTGGCTTGCCCAGCGGCTTCGCGAATGGAGATGGCGGCGTGCAGCGGTCCACTCCAACCCCAGCCGCGACGGTCAGCAACGACTGTGGCGCCTACAGCTACGTCTCATGAAGTACGCCCTCCCGCAGCCCACACGTTGGCCTGAAATGTGGGAGGCCTGGCGCTCCTTGGCACGACGACTGGACCGTCTGAGCGAGGATGACCTCGACCACTTGATGCACGACTTGGAGAAGTGCGCCGATCGTGCGGCTAGCCAAGCATCATATCGGCGCTACAAGGCGTGGGTGGACTGGTCCCACGACTCCACCACCGACGGCGGCATGCGGCGCGCCTTCAAGTGGATCAAGCAAGATGCCCCGTGGGCGTGCACCAATGCTACGGCAGGGCCAGACGTCGCTAAGTCGATCGCGGACGAGGCACGTGACGCTGTTCAACCCTGGCACGACCTATGGGGACATGGCGAGGGCATCGGGGCAGTACTTTGGCCTGACGACATCGGCGCGATCGAGCTGCCGACGATCGACGACCTTCGGAAGACGGCGCACACCTTCATGCCAGACACTGGGCTGGGCTGTGACGTTGTTCACCCTCGCCACATGATTGTTCTCAGCGATGAGGCACTTCAGGCACTGCTGACGCTCTGGAGTTCGATGCTGCAGCTTGGCCACGCCCCGGCCCCAATTCGTATTATGCGAGAAGCGCTTCTGCCGAAACCTGACGGTGGAAGGCGCACGATCGGCATCTTCCCTGGCACGGTGAGGCCGCTGACACGGCTCCTGCGGGCTACGGTAGGCGCGCAGTGGTCGGACAAGAACAAGCGCAGCTACATCTTCGGCACTGAGGGTCAGAGCTGTGAGGCTTGCGTCTGGCGGCAGGCTGCTGCGGGCGAGTCGGCCACGCACAGTGGTTTGACCTGTTTGTCCATTCTGCTGGACCTGTCCAAAGCATACGAGTACAGCAGCTGGCATCGTCCGACTGCTCGAGCCAACGAACTTGGGTTCAACATGTACTTGCTACGGCTGCTGATCAAGCTGTACGCCATGCCCAGGCTCCTCTCATGCGAAGGCACTGTCTTCGACCTGATGACGCCCATGCGCGGCGTGGTGGCTGGATGCTCCTTCGCAGATCTGATGATGCGCAGTTTTATCATTCCCATTTTGGATGACTTGGTGGTGCTACCTGGGATTTCAGTCGGCAACGTGGTTGACGATATCCAGATGCAGGCCACAGGCGCTAGGGCCACTGTTGCGCAGCAGCTCAGCAAGGCATATCGCCAAGCAAGGAGTGCCCTGCAGGACGCCGAGCTGCTGCTGAACGAGAAGAAGGGCAAGCTCGTCGGCAACGATTTTCAGGCCAGCGTGGACCTCGGCAAGCGCTGCCCCTCGCTCGTACAGGCCAGAGACCAGTCGACGCGCAACCTGGGCTGCGACTACAGCTGCGGCAAGCGGCACGGCATGCAGATGCGGCTGGGGCGCCTGGGCAAGGTAATACGGCGCAGTGTAAAAATCAGGGCACTCCGCAGGGCCAGGGGTGCATGCAAGCAGCTTGTCAGCCTGGGGCTCGTCCCTGCTGGAACTTGGGGCGATGGGGTCACTGGAAGGTCCTGGAGCGGTGCGACGGCCCTCAGGAGGGCTGCACGGGCTGCTCTGGTCCCCCACACTGCTCGCAGATCCCTCGCCATCGATCTGGCGTTGGTCCCTGGAGATACCACGGCTGTCGACCCCGCCTACCCCTGCGCGGTGAACCCCATCGTGATGCTTGCACAGGCCTTCTGGGACTCGTGGATACCTCGGGACATCCTCTGCCGCATGCTCTTCAACGCGGATAAGACCCTTCGTGAGGCCCGCGCGCCGTGGAGTAAGGTCGTGGGTCCCGTCTCGGCTGCGCTGGCCTCTTGTTTCAGGATTGGGTGGACTCTTGGAACTGGTGCGGGGAAGCTCTGTACGGCCGATGGCGAAGTGCTTGATCTATCTCGTGAATGCCCCCGTACCGCGAGGATGGTTGCCCAGTGGGGGGTCGAGGCATGGCTCCTTGACAAGGCCCACTGTGAAGAAGGCTACCTCCAGTCCCTCTCCCACGGCCCCTACCTCGCCCCACTCAAGGCCCTCGTGTCCAGGCGCACTGATGACGACTGGACTGGCATGCATAAGGCTACGGTTCGGTGTCTGGCTGCCAATGGGTTCTGGGGGGATGAGCGGCTGCACGGTGCTGGTCTGAGGGATAGCCCAATGTGCTTGCTCTGCGGGGAGGCGCCTGGGACGGTGGGTCACTGGTGTTGGGGGGACTGCGCGTGCACTTGGGCTTTCCGACGCGATTACCTCGTGCCACCTTCCCTCCGAGAGGGAGCTTTGAACCATCCCGGTTGGCCCCTTTGGTGCCGCGGCCTCGTGGCCGACCCTCGACCTTGGCCCCCTCGCCCCACGATGGATCTGCTCGTTCACTGGCGTGTGCGTCCTCCCACGGGGGCCTTTGAAGGCCCATGCTTCGGTGATGGCTCGTGCAGTTCTCTTGTGGCCACTGACCCCAGGCTGCGCAGGGCTGGATGGGGGGTGATCCAGGTGAATTCGAGCGGTTTGGACGTTCTGGCCTCGCTGTGCGGCCCCCTCCCAGGTTTAAACCAGAGCTCAGAGGTTGCCGAATTGTTCGCTTTCAAGATGTATCTTGATAATGCCGGTCTCGGCCCATACGAGCACCTCTCTGATTGTGATTGGGTGGTCTCGAGCTTCCGCAAGGGTCGCTGCGAGACTACAGGAGCCATGCACGCCTGTGCCGACTTATGGGAGGGGGTTTGGGACCGTGTGTGTGTGACCTGGGGGGTGAGATCGTGGTGACCAAAGTCAAGGGTCATGCGCGAGGGCGCGACGACGACCTTGATGAGGGTGCTAGGTGGCGGCGGCTCGGCAACAAGGCTGCCGACGAGGCGGCGCGTGCTGGCGCCGCCCTCCACCCCTCTGATCAGGATGCCGAGGATCGTGTGATCCGTTCTTATCGGTTGGTCCAGTATGTCGGGAAGTACCTGGCCTGGCGTCCGCTTCCCGCCGTGAGGTGGGGCTCAGGAGGGGGCGCCGAATCGCCCCTCGGCTCTCGGACGATGCTGCGCCTCCCGAGGGCTCCCACGACCCTGTCTGGTTTCCTAAGGGTGGCTTCAGGTGCATCAAGTGCTTGCGTTCGGGAGGCACGGTCCAGATTTTGAAAGCCACCCCCTGCAAGCCTGGTGCGGGCCACCGCGTTTGGACGGTGGGCCCATTTGTGTTCTGTAGTGTTTGTGGCGCCTACACTGAACACAACACCCAGAAGCTCGGTCAAGGTTGCCGTGGAAGCTGCCCGCGTGGGTCCGTGGCGTGGGACCGCCTGCGTAAGCTGTGGCGCGGCTGCCACCCCCGCAGTGGGATCGAGCTTCGGGTCTCGGGAGTCGGACCCCTCCCCACCCCCTTTGGCTCATTCGCCCTCGACCACAAATGTAAGGGCCTGGGGGTCCTTCCTGGTTCCGAGGATGAGGATGAGGCTTGAGGCGTGGTCGGTCCTGGGTCCGCTCCCGTCTTAGTTTTGTGTTTTTCCTGACGGTGGCACTCGTCTCCCCTCTTCCTCCTCCTTCCCCCCCCTGGGAGGTGCCCGTAAGCCACCTGTTCGCGCCCTAAGCGCGAGGCCGCTGGCTGCTAGTCTTGACTGCACCCCTTGGCCCCACCAGCACACTCCTCCTCCTCCCTCCTCCTTTTGGGACCGAGGAGCCGAGCTGCTCTCCCCGCCCCGGGGGGCGGGGGAGTTGGAAGACCCGACGTGCTGCTTCGCTTTGGGGCGCAGTTCGCTGCAGGCAGGGTCGTTGAGACCTTGCCCACACCTGGGGGTGCTGGAGACCCGAACTCTCGGTTGAAAGTCTGCCCCAGGGGCTGTCGCATCGCTTTAGTGCATGATCATGCTGGCTCTTCGGGGTGGCTGCTCGCTCGGTATTCCCTCACGCCGTCCCCCCGCTGCTGCTCCTTTCATGTTTCGTATCTCGTGAGACTCCGCCCCCAGGCTGTTCGACATTTCGAAGGCTGGGACCTTTCGCGGCAGGTTTCACGTGCTTGTGGTGTGCCCCAGCGGTGACATTTGGGAGGGGGGGGTGAGGGCGAGAGAGGTGGAGGGAGCAGCGAGAGGGAGCAGGGGGGAGGGAGCTGCGATGAGGTGGCACGATCTGAGGGGGCTGCAGGGGTGAGACAGGGAAGGCGGGCGGCAGACATGAGAGAGGGAGGGATGGGGGTTCAGGAAATCCGCCACCACATGGTGATACGAGGCTTGAAAGATGCTCAGCACTTGGGAAACAGGTCGGCACGGGGACGGAAAACGGATTTGGTTTCAGAGCGCGAGATGTCGCTGGCTTGCCCGTCCTTTCTCTCTGTCTCCCCGTCTGAAAGCTCTCTTGGGGCATCTTGGTGGCATATTGGGCGCCCTCTGGGGCGATCTAGAAACCGCAGGAAGCCTCTTCAGGGGGAACCAGGGCGTGTTGGTATCTTGGGAAGGCACTAGAGCGTGATAAACCATGAATGACGAGCGCTTCAGCAACCTGCCCGAGATGGCTCATGGCACCCTTCGCTCTTGGGAGCCTTGGTGGTGAGAGCTTGCTGCGTCACCACTCTCTGTTGGGAACCCGGGTGTTCAAAGACTTTTACGTTGCCGCTCGCTCCTGGGAGCCTTGGTGTTGAGAGTTGTTTACGTCACCGCGCTCTGGGGAGCCTTGGTGTTCAGAGCTTGTTGCGTCACCGCTCGCTGTGGGGAACCATGGTGTTCTTTAGCGTCTCTGGGGCTTCTTGGGAATCGATTGGGGGCCCTTTTGGACCGTTCTGGAACTCGTCGGCCGTCTTTGGGCCAGCCCAGTCCCTACACCCAAGCAGCCCAGACCCCATACCGCCTCTTCGGGCCCGCTTGGGAGCCTCTTGGGGCCCTCTTAGGGCTATCTTGGGGCCGTCTGGGGGCCCTCTTGGGCCGTCTTGGGGCCTCTTGGGCCGTCTGGGGGCCCTCTTCGACCGTTTTCGGCCCTTCTGGGGTGCCTCTGAAGCCGTCTTGAGATAATATTTTGGGCCTCTTGGGCCGTCTTGGGCCCGTCTGGGGACCCTCTTGGACCGTTTGGGGCCCCTTTGGGGCGCCTCTGGGGCCGTCTTGGGACGAGCTTTGGGGTCTCTTGGGCCGTCTGGATCCCTTCTGGGATGAAAAGGGGAGAACCCGAAAAACCTGCAACAACCATAGGGAAATCAATGTGTTTGGCCTCCTGAGGCCCTCTCGGGGGCCCTCTTCAGTGTTTTTGGCGTCCTGAGGCCCTCTCATGGGCCCTCTTCAGGGCCTCTGGAACCGTCATGAGACTCCCTTGGACCGTCTGGAGGCAATCTCAAGCTCTCTTGTGGCCGTCTTGGGGCCCTCTGAAGCCGTTTTGGGGCCCTCTTGGACCGTCTTGGGGCCCTCTGGCCGGTTCACCAGCAACAAATACGAAGAAACAGGCCATGGGAGCCGCCCGGGAGCCGCTTCACTCGAAAAAGTATGAGGGAACCGCCGAACATGGCCGGAATTCTTGACGTTTCGCGAATCCCCACCAATTCCGCTTTCTAGTTTGATGCCTGCGTTCCCCGCTTCGGGTCGCCTGCGTCGTAATGAGGGTCAGTTTGTCCCTGGCACGTGCACCCGCTGCCGCGGCCTATGGGCCCCTGCAGCTAATGTTCTCGCCCTGTGCCCCTGTCGAGACCATCCCGCTCCCTGGAATCGTCCTTGCGAGCCGCCGATCAGAAAAGTATCCCCACCAATGGTCCCTCGGGCCACCCTGGTACTCACGCAGTTGTCCAGGGCTGCGTCCTTGCATTAATTTCGGCTTCTGGCCCGGGTCGTCGTGTGTCCCGACTCCTTGGAGCCCCGACGCTTTGCATACTTGCACGCTGGCAGTACGACTCAGTTTCAGCTGCCCCCCACTCGCCGGTCCGCCGCTGAGCTGCTGCGTGAGGGCTCGGTTAGCCGCTGTAGGTGTGGCCACCCTCCGTCGCTTTAGGTTAATTCGTCGCTGCGTGCCCCGCTTTGACTGGACTCGCCGCCGGCGCGCTCGCCCGCGGCCGCTGACTGAAAAAAAGTATCCCCACCAGCCCATCCAGAAATGATCAGCAGGGGAGTCGGTGAATCAGGGGCGGCAGGACGCATGCAGTTTCGCAGCCGTGTTCGGGAAAACATAGATCACGAAGAGCGTCCCGCATTGAAGTTTCATATGGGAATCAGTGCAAGCTACGATGGTGCTTCGATGAGGGGTGAGGGGTGTTTCGATGACTCGTAATGGCTGTTGCACTGATGCGTATCTTAAACTCGCGTGCGTTTCGAAACTTGGAGCCATCTTGGGGCTCTCTTGGGGTTCTCTTGGGGCCCTCTTGGGGCCCTCTTGGGGCTCTTTCTTGGGGCTCTCTTGAGGTCCTCTTAGGGCCTTCTTGGAGCCCTCTTGGGGCTCTTTTGGGGTGTCTTGGGGCTCTCTTGGGGGTCTTTTGGGGGGTCTGGGGGCCTTCTTGGGGCTCTTTTGGGATGCCCGAGGGGCCTCTTGGGGCCGTCTTGGACCATTTCGCTAAAAAAGAGGGGGGTTCTTAATCCCCATCGCCCCCTCGGAGGCTCAAACATTCCGTCTTGGGGCCCTCTTGGGCCGCTCTTGGAGCGCTCTTGGGCGCTCTTGGGGCCGTCTTGGGGCCCTCTTGGACTTCTCTTGGGACTATATTGGGCCGTTTTGGGGCCATCTTGAGGCCTCAGGAGCCCATCGGAGGCGAACAAGCGAGAAGGCAAAAAACTTTGATTTGTCTTAGGTGTTTGAAGGATTTGGGCCTTTTAGGGGGGGTCCTTGGAGGCCTCGGAGGGCTCTTGAAACCGTCTTGGGGCCGTCTTGAGGCCTCTTGGACGTGTGTCGGAGGCTAGCCCGTCCAGACGCAGGGACGGGGGGGGGGGAGGTAAACCTCCCGAGCAGGGAAAGGCAGGAGGTTGGAAAAGGAAACGCTCTAGACCACCTGCGCCCAGAGGGCTGGTGGGATTAGGGCGATTAGATCCCTACCCGTGCAGATGCCACCCCCCTCGAGCTCCCCCTAGTTACATGTCTTCTGGCTAACGGATCGCACGCTACGCGCGCTTTCCGTCATCTGCAGATTCGCAAAAGGATCCACAGCACGTCGTAGAACCAAGGCAAGAGAGCGCAGGATAAGTGGGATGGCGAGAGACGAGAGCGTGCCGCAGACAAGCTCGTCCCTCCCGCGCAGCCGGATGCTGCGCCCGAAAACGTTAGATCTGGTGTTCGGGTACTTGCTGTTCCCTGAGCAGGGACAAGGGCCTCGCAGCATCCTCATGCCTCGGCTTGCCCAGACACGGGCTGGACAGAAGATGCATCCAATGCCGAGCAAAGGCTCCGCAACGTGAGCACCAGGTGAAGAGCAGAGCGGCCTGGTCATCTCCCCCCTGCAGCTTATGGGAGGGGTGAGCCTCTCTGGCCACGCGCGGCCAGCCAGCACATATGTAGGAGGCGAGGCTGGAGTACGTCCTACCTCTGTCTAGGCACCTCCCGCAAAGGAACCTCTTGCCGAAACGAGCAGTCCTGTGCCTATTGGGCTGGGGGACCAAGATGAGACCGCTCGCCGTCGCTCGACCCCTCTTGGCAGCCGTCTTAGCCACATCCCGAATGGGGGAGCAGACATGCTCGAGCAACGTTTCCGAAAACTTGCTGAGCCTCCGAACTTTATGGCTGCTGCAGAAACCTAGCATACAGGAAGTCTGACTGCGGAGTCTCTCCCGCGGCGTCGTTGGCCGTCCTGCCAGCCATCCTGCTTCCCTTCCAGGCCCAAAATGGGACCCCAATGTTAGACGCAGCAGGCCAACTCTTGTGAGCTGGGACCTTGATCAGGGATAAATTGTCAGGCCCCCGATCCCGACGGCGAAAGCAAATCTCCTCTCACATCTCAGCATAAGGCACAGGAGGCAAATCGGCCTCGGCCCCCTAGGCCTAGATCTTCATCACAGCCTCACAATCCGTCGCACACGACACAGGATCTGCGCCCATGAGCCGTAAGGCTATGAGGATTGCAGGCGCCTCGGCACTATGAATCGAGTGAAGGCCGTGCTCCTGAGGCCCGCACGCGCTGGCCAGAACCTGGCCCGCATCATCTACAACCACGAACGCCCACGCAGCGCGGGTGAACAAGGGCAGCTCGCGGTGGAGCGCTGAGCCGTCCGAGCAGATGCTCCCTTGCGTCCAGCCGTGGCGAGAAGACCACGCAGCGCCAGCGACTGACACCGCGCAGCCGCGGGGTATGGTTGACGAAAGAGCCCTCCAAGCAACGAAAAAGCTTCCACTCCCAAAGCGAGGAAAACCCGATATTCTGCCTGAAACTTGCGAGCCTTGTGCCGCTGGCCCCCACGCCAGCCAAGCAGCGGGGGTCCCTAATGCGCCAGTCCTGGAAAAGCTCAGCCTGGGTGACTAGGCCCCCGCCACATGGGTAGCCAGAAGACTAGCCTAGAGATTCTTGCCTGCATTGCGCAGCTCAGCACATACAGATGCCACTGCATCGAGCTGAGGCACCGAACAACTGTAACCTGTCTACTCACAGCACACTTTCTCAAACCAGGCATCTTTCATGCCAAGCTTCACCACTTGAGTCAGCATATGCTTACGCACGACCTCCAAATCCGGACAGAGGCCTGTGGGGAGGGTCCACCTGCAATGGCTTTGAGGACGCCACCCAAGCCTCCTCTGCGTCATCAGCGTGGCCCTGGTGGGGCCATTGACATCCGCCCCAATTCCCAAGGCCATGTACGAACATCGAACGCGGACTCCATCTGAGCCTTCACGGGTAAGGTGTTTCCCACTACAGTGATCGGCTTGAATATGGAACACTTACTTTCCAAAAGGGGCTCGGTCGTTCCTTAGGCTTGCCTGCGCTATTTATAGTTCCTTATGCGTTATTTGTTATTTATCGTTCCTTATGCGTTATTCCTTGGGATAAAAAAAGGGGCTTCGTTCCTTATTTATCGTTCCTTAGGCCAGGCCGATGACTGTAA